GGGGCATTATTATCTTTTTCTTCCCCTCAAAGCCAAAATACATAAATACCTTCCCCCTATATAGCTATTTATAGGTTTAGAGTTGTTGGTTGAGGGAGTATTTCTTTAAAAGCCCCCGTAAAAAGCTGAAAATAGCCATTTGAGGGGTCCTCTAAGAGCCCCAACAACTAGTTTTCTTGAACTGGCTGCACTTGGCCCATTGCGGGCCCACAAATCATGTCGTGCCATGTATTGTGCCACGTGCTGGGCCGTGCCGGCACACAGGCCGCAGGCAACATGACACACAATCGTGGCTTGCTGTGCCAGCCCACAGACCTGAAACCCCCAACACAGCATAGCCCACGTGCCATCATGTCAGGCTGGTCCAAAATCATGTCGGACCCCAATTTATACCTCTATTCAAAAGCACGGGCATCTAGTTGCACATTGAGAATCTTCCCATTAATTTAACGTAACATGTACTAGGGGTGCAGCTTGGGTTGTCGCATTTTACACTGCTTTGGGCTTGGGCCGCCGGGTTGGGTCCATTAAAAATTTGACAAAAGTCCAACCCCAGCCCGTCAAAATTGACCCCTAACATGTACAAGAGATATTTCAGATGCATTCAGGAGATCTGGGCTCGTGAGAAGTAGATCCAAACTTGATTTTTATACCGACTGCGAAAAAGACCAATCCTTCGGTCCTTCCTTAAAACTATATCAGCCGAACTGTATAAGACCCACAACTACGGGTTATCATGGCCAGGCATAGGCTGGGCTTAGCGCTTAGGTAAAGGGTTATATCTTTGACCTAAGTCACATATTATATTTTATAAAGTATATATAATATTTTATATTATATGGCATATTATATGTATATAATAAATGTGTTGTTTATAATATTTGTATATATCTATCTATATTATATTATAAAGCGATTAAGTCCCATGTCAGCAGCCCTTTTCTTCTCCCATTCTCCCTTCTCTTTTATCTTCTTAAACCTTTCTCTTTTCTTCCTAATCCATTCTTGGCCCTTCCATGTAGCCACGTGGCAGCCTTTTCTTCTGCATTAGAGTCCCACTCCAGGTGTCTCTCTAATGTTCCTAATCACTTAGCCAACCCCCTTCTAAAATTTCTGCTAAACTTTCTCTTCCATCTAAAATTCTTCCTAAAACAGCTCTTAATCTATATTGCCACATGGCAGCACTCTCTTCTTCACTAGAGTTCCTCTCTCTCTCTCTCTCTCATGTTATCAATCGGCTCAACCCCCTCCTAAAATTTCTCCATAACAATCTCTCCCATCTAAAATTCCTCCAAAGACCTCTTAATCTATATTATAAACCATCTAAAACCAAAAACGTGATTAAATTAATTAACTAGATTAATTTGGGTAGTTAGATTAATTTGTGATTTTTTTATATTTTCAATATTTATTGGTACATTTGAATATTATTTATTAAATATCAACACCTAAACTATAATTTTTCGTAGTTTTGGTAAATTGAAAATTTTAATTAATAAGAATTACTTTCTGAAAATTACTGATTTTGGTAATTTAATTTCAATTTTTTTGAAAATTAATTATTGAAATCAATAATTACTAAAAAACTAATAATTAATTAAAATATTAATAAATGCAATTTTAATAATTAAAAATTATCAGTAATTTTTAGCAATAAGTAGTTCTTGATATTTTTCAGTAATTTTTAACGGAAAATTAATTTCAATATATAAAAATCTATTTTTTACATTTTCAATAATTTTGATATTTACTATATTTTTTAGCAATAATTAGTGAATTTGTTAAAGTTAAATTTTAAAACTTACAAGTTTTCAAATAAATAATGGGAAAATTTTAATAATTTCCATAAGTATTGGATACTACATTTATAATTACCACAATTAGTGGAACTATGTTTATGGGTTTAGGGGGTGACCCCTAGGGAAGAAATGGCAATGAGCAGGTTCGGGGTGGAGATCATACTCCCCATCCCGACCTCGAGTTTTAAATTAATACCTGTAAAAAATTTTAGCTTGCATCCCCGGTCCTCAACGGAGAGGGCGTCCCCATCGAGGACTTGAATCCCTGAATTTTTTAATTAAAAGTTTGTTTTTTGAAATAACATAAATATATAATATAAATATTATTATATATTTAATATAATATATACACATATATTTAATATATATAATCGTGGTTGGGACGAGGTGTGGACTTCACTCCCCGTCCCAAATCAGGTATTCCTATTAATCCCATCCCCACCCTATTCACGTTAAGGCAATCTCCATCCCATCCCTGCCTGATCGGGGAGGTTGGGTACTTGGTGGGGATGGAGAAAATTGCCATCCCTACCATCAGGTTGTGTAGTTTCATAGAAAAATAAGTATTAAGTCCAATTTTATACATCACACAGGGCCCGCTAGTAATATAATATAATATAGAAATACATAGTTAATATAAAAATAATATATTACATTGATAAAAGATACATAAAATGCATAAGTGTGCATGGGAGATAGAAAACCTGAACTAATGTATTGGGTCCAAGCCCAGCGCAAAAGTTTTCGGGCCTGGGACAGAGGGCTAAAAATGAAGCCCCCTACCATTGGCACCATCCAACTAATCCAGATCTCTATTTATGTTAAAACACATATTACTCAGTGGACATGTAGTAGAAACTGATTCAAATGGACATGACTTCTAGGAAAAATGAAGATCCTTAAACCTCACCTAAGGTTTCTGGCAAATATTAAAATCTCCCTTCACCCTTCTAAAAGGCCATTGACCTCATTATCATCAGTCCAAAATGTCTGAAGTGATTTACCTTTAATATAATAAAATGTGTCATCTATTGTCCAACGTGGCCAAAAGGTTGACCATGTGGCAGACCAAATTGGAATTCGAACGGTTGCCCCACACGCGCCCCACAGCACATCCCCATGTATTTGGAACATCTCCCCCTAATAAATACGAGAGATGTTTCAAAAGCACGGGCAGATGTGCCTATGGGGCACATGTGAGGCGCACTCTGTGGGGAGCCCATCTGAATTCATCAAATTGTTGGCCTAGAAGATTAGACACTGAATTTTGTTCCTAAAACCACCCTTGTTTGTCAAGCATCACCTAATGATCTTTATCAATTGAAATTTTGTAAAATTAGACATCAGATTTTGGATTGTATTCCAACCCCTGAATAGGTTTAAATTTTATAGGTGGCATAGTTAGAGGACAAATTTCACCATGGGTGGTTTTGATCAAAACCAGGTGACCCACCTACAAGTATGACAATTTTGATATTAGGGGAATGCCTATGAGGCAAGGCGGGCTGGGTTTTGCCTGCCCTGTCCCTAATCCTAAACTCGAATGCCCTGCCCCGAACCCTGGGGATGCATGTATTTGCCTTGCCCTGCCCTGATTATTCTTATTTGTATATTTATAAATTTATTTATTTATTTATATTTTTTTAAATTTACACAGAAATATTTTATATTATGTAATATAATATAACATAATATATATATATATTATGTTATATAATATTGTCAAAGCAGGTTCAGAGTGGGGTGGGGCAAGACTCCACGGGGACAGGTCAAATTGTCATTTCTAAACCCTAATCAAGGCATTTTTTATATTTATCCCATCTTAGCAATGCTAGAAGCAAAATCCTTTGATAGGGAATATTTGAGGATTAGGATAAAAAATGAGGGGAGGTTTTAATATCTATAAGAAAACTCAGAGGAAAGGTTGCAACTTGGGCTAGGTTGGCCCTAACTCAACTCGAAAAAGTCAGGTTGGGTTGATGCCCGAGTTAGGGTTAGGGTTGAAATTCATGAACCCGACTTTATTTTGGGTTGGATTAGGGTTGATCCCTTGGACAACCCGACCCAACCCAAACCTGACTCTATAGTATATGTCATATATAAATATAGGGTAAAATACAAAAACCTCCCCTAAAGTTTCTAACAGTCATAAAAACCTCCCCTATAGTTTCATTTTAACAAATACCTCCCCTGAACTTTTGAGAAACTCTACAAAAACCTCCCTTCTGTCACTATCCCAGATGGAAAACATTAGATTGATGCACTAGTTTTTCTAAATATCCATTCTACCCTTTTATAAATTATTTTACATACAAAATTGCTGAAATAATCCCATTTTAACTCAATAAAAAAACATATTTCAGTAATTTTAATTACTGAAATGATCATTCAAAGAGGTTTTTGTTGAGTTAAAATAGGGTTATTTCAGTAATTTTGTATGTAAAATAATTTATAGAAGGGTAGAATGGGTATTTGGAAAAAATAGTGCATCAATCTAACGTTTTCCATTTGGAACAATGACGAAAGGGAGATTTTTGTTGAGTTTCTCAAAAGTTTAGGGGAGGTATTTGTTAAAATGAAACTATAGGGGAGGTTTTTATGATTGTCAAAAACTTCAGGGGAGGTTTTTGTATTTTACCCATAAATATATGTCGTCTATATTATATATCATGCATTGATTTGTTTAGATGTATGATAGTTGTATAGCCCTCACTACAAACTATCATGTCTTTCTTTTCAGATAATCACTTCACTTAATCCCAAATGCAAAGACTAAAACCTTAATAACATATTTTATGTTTTTTGAATATTTTATTCTTCACCTCCTCTCTAATGTTTGCCACCCATAAAAAATCTATCATAAGGCATAACTCATAATAAACTATGGTCATTTTAAACAATTGTTTTTCTGAATTTTATACTAAAAGAACCAATAAAAACATCAACAACCAAATACTAATAAAACATAGGATTAATATTTATAGTGAAATTTGAGATTAAATAGTTTTATCAGATTTTAAAGGATGGGAAGAAGGTTGTGTTGGGTTAGGGTTGAAGGAATTTGGTTAGGGTTAGGGTTAAGGTTGGGCTAGGGTTGGCCTCAACCCAAGTTGCAGCCTACTCAGAGGAGGTATAAAGAATTTACCCCCTCCAAATTATTCTTAAATTTGAGTTTGACAACTGTAAATTTTATTTTGCCAGGATATGTTTACTGCTGGAACTAACACCACATACACATTGCTAGAATGGGTAATGGCAGAACTTTTAAGGCACCCAGGAATTATGAAAGAAATGCAAGATGAGATGAGGGGGATCATTGGAAGCAGACCCAACATTACAGAAGAGGATATAGAACAAATGCACTACTTGAAAATGGTGATCAAGGAGACACTGAGGCTACACCCTCCAATTCCTCTGTTGATTCCACGAGAATCAACTCAAGATGTCAAAATACAAGGCTATGACATTCCAACCAAAACAAGAGTAATCATCAATTCCTGGGCGATTATGAGGGACCCATTGTCTTGGGAGAGAGCAGAGGAATTTCACCCAAAGAGGTTCATGAATGCTGCTGGGAGTTCTATTGATTTCAGAGGTCATGATTTTCAAATGATCCCATTTGGGGCTGGTAGGAGGGGATGCCCTGGAAAGGAATTTGCTGCTGCCATTAATGAACTTGTATTAGCAAACCTTCTACACAAGTTCGACTGGACATTACCCAACAGAGCAAGTGGGAAGGACTTAGATATGGAAGAAGATTCTGGGATAACAATTCACAAGAAATCTCCTCTCCTTGTTGCAACCCCTCACTATTGTTATCATGAATAGGTTCATTTGTTGAATCGGCCTTTAGTAACTGTCATCTCTCTTTGTTGGGATAAGGAGTCGTTTAGGATTACCCTATATAGTTTAAGCCAGTGATGTATGGATTATATCATCGCTTGAAATCATTCTAATTTTGTGTGAAGTTTTCTTTTACTTTCTAGTTCTTAGAGAGTATATGTAGTGTGCACCAAATGACTGGTGAAGTTGGACTTATCATGTACTTCCTACTACACTTGATGGATTAGTTCAGATGATTTCATATCTATTAATTGTTAGCTCCACTAACCAAACACCTTTTAAAAGAGTCCGGATCTCCTACACCCACATGAAATCGCAGCCACACGTGAAAAACATCTCATGCTCTTACATGTTATTATGCATGGGAAGATGTTATCAAACATAGGTAGTATTTTGTAGATAGGTGTGGGTAGGAGATCCGAAGTCTTTAGATGTTAGTTCTACCAGTAAATAAGAAACTTGTTTGGTAGAAATCTAACCATGTTGACACGATTTTAACCAATGTTGCAGAAACATGTTTACAATGGATAATCACTGATTGTTAGGGGTGGTCATGGGTTGGGCCGGGCTGGGCCTAAACATAAAACCTAGCCCAAGTACAGAAATTTTCGGTCGAGCTGGAAATGATCACCCCTACAGTAATTGTCTTTGGGTGTAAAATTTGACCCATTAGTGTGGGGGCAGATGCCACAGCTGACAAAAGTGGATGATATAAGGGTGTGTTTGGTTGCAATGTAAATAAATTAGTACTGATGCAAAACCATGACAGTGGAAATGATTTGAGTGTAAATTCTGACCTATTTTTGTTTCAAATTTTATCTTATTTTGTTTGATTACAGTACAAATGGAATAAATTAAGACATAAAGCATAATAAAGTAAAATCCAAAACAAAATTAAACAAGAATTTACATTTCTTATATTTGCACTCTCATGCATTTGTACTAGTACAAATAAATTTGCACTGCAATCAAACACAGCCCAAGTTTCTTAAATTGGAGGGATCCCAGTGACCATCTCAAATACTAGGTCATGGGCAACTGAAATTTGGTTGGAAGCTATCAAAAGAAATTTAAGTGAAGAAGGGTTAGGGAGAAAAAGGCCATAATATATCATTTAATCACTATTTGAATATGAGGTATGGTGAATATTTTAGAAATGCTAAAGGTGGAGAGGCGCATGATTCTGAGTTAACATGCCCTTTCATGCAAAAGCCCATTGGGCTTGAAATATAGACAAACCCAGGTCCACTTATACCTTGTGCTGAAATTTAATTATTTATAATGAGGGCAATGAAGAAGATTGAACACTGGACCACTTGATCAAATAGACTATGATACCATCTCAAGGAATCATTCAATTAACCTAAAAGCTTAACCTGTTGGGTGAGGTTCGTGAATAAGGTTTTATTCTCCAACACTGTGTGTCTCAGCTCTCTATTTAGGTCAATATAAGTCTTTGTTTGTTTCTAATGCAATTTCATTTGCAGTAGCACAAATGCATGAATGTGTAAATGAGAAGAATTCAATTTTTGGGTCCCTTTATTTCAGGTTTTACTTTACTTTGCTTCTAAGTCCGGACTATTTTACCCATTATTTCAGGTAAGGGAAAAATAAAAAGGATTATTTTACCCATTATTCTCTTTCAAATTTTCAAAATGAAACATTAACGGTAATTGATTCTAACCTCAAAAGCGATGACAATGGTGGGTCTCAACCGACAACTGTTGGTCTCAGCCTCTGTTTACTGTGGTTCGACAACATCGGTCAAACCCAATATAATCGCCAGGGCTCCATCTTCCTCCTCGTCGAGGCTGGCGGCGATACCTTCGTTAAGATGGGTGCTATAGGCCTTCAAGAGCCTGGCCTCATTGGGCATTTACTTGAGGATGACATCTGCCTTGTCGTTCTGATAATCACAGAGACCAACGAGTATAATGTCGTCGGCGGCGATCCAGACCTTCTTATGCATCTTGTCCCGGATGTGGCAGCGACGCTTGGTGCCATCTATGCACATGGCTTCGCAACGGCCGTTCCTGAGGAAAACCATCGGAGATGAAGACAGCGTTGGTGACGAAGGTTTCCGCACGGGGAGGGCAGAAGAAACAACCCAGTTTATGCAATCGTCCCATAAGCCGATAAACGAGTCGCTACTCGTTGCAGTGCCAGCGCTGATAGTGGGATACGAGCGGACAATTGGACGTAGTAGGAGATAGTAAGTAATACATCGAGGGAATGTATGATATTGTTATACCGGACGTAGTGGGAGATGGGTTTCGTTTTCCGAAGACTTTGACCTGTTGACCACAGACGATCTGCCCACAGAGAAACCCTTCAGTGGTCTGTCTTCGAAGGCCTCCATGGTGCAAGCCACCCTGGTGTCCTCTAAGAAAGCAAGTTCATCTGCGTTCAAAAAGCTTGAGCCTTGAAGCTTAACTCTCCCTCTCTGGTATTCTCTTTCCTCAGCCCACAAAGTTATAAATTCTTCCCAAGTCATTTTGATCTTCCCTATGCATCGAAATTCTTTTGACGATGAAGAAGATGATGGAACCACCATCTCCCATGAAGTCCCAACCCGGATAAGCTCCCTCGACCACCATGAAGGAAAGCTTTTGTGGTGGTCGTTGTGCCCGGTTGCTTGCTCAATGCTGCAACTACCGCCGTGCCCGGTTGCTTTTGTGGTGGTGACGGGATTTCCTACCCACTCTCTAACATGTGCACGGATTAATGTGACGAAACATTAACAAACGGTGATAGCAGGGTAGAGTTACACAATTGTTAGAAAACTTAGGGGGTGCTCTAAGATATTATAATATATAGATTGTAAGAATAGTTAGTCAATTGGCTAAATCAAACACGTAAAAAATTTTGCAAGATAAAGGTAAAAAATAATATAATAGAAAATAGAATTGGAAAGAGGGAAGGAATCACATGTTTGAAACATGAGCTGTGTTGGGCCTTTAATTAGCACTATGATCAAAAACCCATAAACTGTTCCCACATCCCTACCCATACAACACCATTGTTATGTATTGGGAACATTTCCTCTGAACGACAAAGGAGGTATTCCGAATGTGCAGCCAATGTTTTCAACCCGTCGTTGACTCTGTCAATCAAATCGTTCGAATAGTCATCTAGCTAAGATTTTGGTTCCAATTCAGTCAAAACCCGTCAGACGGTAAAAAATTGTTGACTTGGTCAAGAACCGTCGACCTAGTGACCGGGTCGCGGGTTTGCACACTTAATGCATGCAAACTTTCAGATGTCGTAACTTTGCACTTTGATGTCCAATTGAAGTTTTTTTATTTTGGATAACTTTTTGAGATCTATAAATCCAAGGGTTGTAGGTGCCTTGCCCCACTATTTTCGTGAAAAAATCCTTTTTGGCCTCAAATTGTAATTTTTAATATTTTTTACAAATAAAAAAATTAAAAAATATAAATTAAATATACAATAATACATATAACATATTTATACATTATTTATTTCTAAAATATATATTTATACATACATATATATATATATATATATATATGTGTGTGTATATAATATACTTAATACATATATATACACTAATGTGGCACATAGAGGTGTAAAGTGGGCCGTGCCAGGCCGGGTCGGGCCGTGTATCAGGCCAAAGCTATTTATTTAAAAAAAATTGACAAAAACTTAAAAATTTAATTTTATATGAATTTTATGTATAAAATTACTTATATATGTAATAATTAAATAAATTAGTATACTAAAATTAATAAATATATATTTATTTTATTAATATATTATATACTATATATTATTATATAATTATAATATATAAAATATATATATGGGTCGTGCTACGGGCAGCACGACCCGCTCGGTCATATCATGCTGCACTAGCCCGTGGACCTAAAATCCCCCGCTCGTGCCAGGCCTGACATGGCCCACAGACCGTCATGCTGGGCCAGTCCATGTTTTTGCCTCTGGGTCACCCGCGACCCAGAGGCAAAAACAATTCGGCCTCCGGGTCGGTTTTCAAAATATTGTATGCAGCTATAATGTCTCGTGTCTAACGATGTGGGAACAACTAGCTTGTGGGTAACAGATCTGAGGCCGTTAGTTTGAAAACCCACATCTAAACATTTAGATGAGTTGAGTTGTCCGTATCTTAATTAATAGGGAAAAAAGAGGAAGGCTTCATTAAGCCAAGGGTGACAAATTTGAAGAGCTTGTCCTGATCCAATTTATTGCTTTTGGACAAGTATAGAAGAAAAATGTTGATGTAGCAGTTGTCCCTTTGAATCAAAGCATTATCAAGATTAGTTGTTGCTGTACAGTCTTCCTGTGTTTTTTTCTTAGACTTTGACCATTAATTTATCAACTTATGTACCTTCTTTTCTTTGACCATTAGTTATAGTTTAGACTCAGATTCATCCCCTTTCACTATCTATCTATTTATTTATCCATCTCTCTGATCGTGTGTGTGTTTATGCATCCCTTCCATTATAAATCCACAAACCCAAAGAACTGAGTCAAGAGTGTTGTCTATTAGATTTTCTGCAAGCAAAAGAATGCTAACATGCTAAGAGCATAGCAATTTAGTCATACATGAGAAACATCTCTCATACTGCGAGGCCTTGCATTAGAAACATCTCCTATATTTTTTTAATGTACGATTAGATGCTATGCTCTCAGGGTGTTTGTACATTAGTTTCTTTCAGGAAATCTTGTCTACAACTTTGTGTGGGCAAGAAGACAATTCACAAACCACTCAAACAAGACAACTCATAAAACATATGTATGAGGTGAAGATAAGGATCTATTTGGATTAATTTGAGGATGCCAAAATGTAGTCCAATTTTTCGTGACTTTTGGCCTTCTCCATGCATCCATAACACAAGGTTATGTTTCTCACATTCTAGATGGATTGCCCTAAATGCATTGAGCCATTTAATTTCACAAAGTTATGAGATTGTGGAACCATTCTTCTTGACTACAATATCTATATT